CGGCTCGGCTGCGCTGCTGTTGGGCGGCTAGGCTGGGCCGCTGACGTAGGGCGGCGGGGCCGCTGTAGAGGAGTGGCGGGGCCGCTGCAGAAGGACGGCGGGGCCGCTGGGTAGTGAGGCGGTGGGGCCGCGAAGACGGGCGGCGGGGCCGCGAAGTCGGGCGGCGAGGCCGCTGAGTAGGGCGGCGGGGCCGCAGTGAGAGGCGGCGGGGCCGCAGCGAGAGAGGCGGCGGGGCCGCGAAGACGGGCGGCGGGGCCGCTGAGACGGGTGGCGGGGCCGCAGTGAGTGGCGGCGGGGCCGCAGCGAGAGATGGCGGCGGGGCCGCGAAGACGGGCGGCGGGGCCGCAACGAGAGAGGCGGCGGGGCCGCAGAAAAGGGCGGCGACGGGCCGTAGGCGGCGCGAAGCCGCAGGTAAGGGCGGCGACGGGCCGGGGCGGCTCGAAGCCGCAGGTAGAGGCGGCGCGAAGCCGCGGGAAGGGCGGCGACGGGCCTGGGCGGCGCGAAGCCGCAGGTAGGGGCGGCGCGAAGCCGCCGGTGAGGGCGGCGCAAAGCCGCGGGTAAGGGCGGCGACGGGCCGGGAAAAGGGCGGCGCGCCGCAGCCGCTAGGGCGGCTCGACGCGACCGTAAGGGCGGCGCGACGGGCCGCTAGGTGCGACTCGACGGGCCGCTAAAAAAAAAAAAAGGCAGGCGCGACTCGAGGCGCGCTTCGGTGGGCCCAAGGAACAGTCCCTAGGAGGGGACCTGCTCTGATTCCATGTGAGAATGAGAACGAGAATGGCTGAACTATGAAAATGAAGTGAGTACAAATATGAAACCCTAATTGGTTGTACCCCCTATGGGATACCCCACTATAGCCTACACAACAGCATAAGCTATAATGTTCTGACACGCACTCTGCTGTAAATCTTCACGTGACGTGTGAAGCCAACCGCAATACGCCTCATCGCCCTTTTTGGCTGGAACCGACTGCCACGGAAGACTGCGTTGCACCTCTCCAGCCACACTTGGTGCGCTGTGATGGAAATGATTGCAGCCTCCGGAAAGCCGGATGTCGTGCCGCTCTTTTGGAAGAGCATGTCTCCGAGAGACCTCTTGTCCCTGCCCGGATTCATGCATTGCACCGCCTTCTTCATTGCCCCCACCACTGGCTGTATCACCGGGCAGCTGAAAAGACAGTGGTCCTGCGATTCCACTCCTCCACAATGCGTGCATTTCGCCCTTGCACCCAGGAAAGGACGCCTCTCCCCTACTTGGAGATTGTTACTGTGCACCCTCAGCACCACTTCGCGTGCCCTGCATGGGGTTGCCAGCGAGTCACGGACTGTGATGGCCTTCCCCCAGTCAATCTTTCTCCCCAGGTCCTCCTCCCACTTCAGCTGTTGCTTTGGCTGCGCCACCGAGGGTTTCATCGCCTTCCTCAACTGCTTCAGTCCTGCTCGCTCTCCTTTCTCACAGATTGTGGAATAAAGTAGGCGCGTTCTCGGAGCCCCCAGCACGCCCCGGACTTTCCCTTCTATGACCGCCATAGGGGAAGCGTTCCGGAATTCAACTGTTACCACGCTGGCGTACTCCATCGCCGATATAAGTCCTTTCTTGTCGACCGTCACCCTCCGACCGTAAAGTTCGCCGTTGTTCACGTACTGCAGTTGATAGTAGAAAAACTCTCCCGGGCGATACGAGGCCGTGCGAATTAGCGATGTCTCCCTGAAAATTTCCTCTGCCGACAGCTGTTTGAGTACCAGGTCCTTCCACCCCTGCGGTGTCGCTTCCCACGCTTTCAAAGGCCACTTCCTTTGGTCCACTCCGCCCAACTCCCTCTCCAGGTCCGCTTCACTCTTACGAGTCCTGCTGCCATCTCTTCCCTTAGCCACCAAGTCCCCCAGCCGGATGCCCTTCAGACAGAGAGAGCTCGCCTGGTTTCCGAAGGGCGATTTGCCTCTGAAGAAAATGTTACGGTTGAAAAGTAGCTGCTCCTCCTCTGCGTCCCACCTGTGAGCCGGGTCTCCTATGGTCACGATCTTTGAGTCCCACAACGCTCTCACTGCAGCCTTCCACCTCATGCCCCCCCCCAGCCAGTTTTTCAGGATCGAAGGGTGCGCGTATATCGTGGCCAGACCGAGCGGGAACGCCGCCGCTCTCTCCCATAGCCAGTTCCGAAGCGGCTCTTGTTCCGCTAGAGCCTTCCCCAAGCCTTGGATCACCGTGCTGTCGATCCGATGCTTCAGATCAATCACTCCCAGCCCCCCTTCTTTCCGTCCTCTGCATGACAGATCATAGCTCCAGAGTGTAAAGTGCCTGTCCAGGAGCGCCTTCCCTCCAGAGATGAAGTTGTGACACAGCCGCTTCACCTTGGTCCATACTTCGTACGGCGGGGCGTAAATCTGCGCCTGAAATAACAGGATCGGCATCGCGTAACTGTTTATGATTGTGACCCGCGCCGAGGTTTTGAGGTGTTTTGTCTCCCAGCAGCTCAGCACCGCGCTAACTTTTTCAAAGGCTTTGTCCCATGCAGGTCCCGGCGAGCCCCCAGAAGTGATCCAGATTCCGAGCAGCCGCTCCGACGTGTTCTTATTCGCCCATTTGAAAGGCGACACTATCGGCTGCAGTCTCCTTAAGTTCTTCCCCAGCGGCATCAACGTCGTTTTGTCGTGATTCACCTTCAACCCTGAGACCTCCGCAAACTCCCCTAGCAGTTTCCCGGCTGCCTCCACCTGCTCCTTGCCTTTTAAGACCAAAGTCGTGTCGTCCGCATATCCGATGTATGCTAGATCCCCTTTTACGCCTCTCTTCCTGACCCCCAGCTTCCTTCTCTCTATCTCTTGGCAGAGTGGCTCAACCGCGCACAGGAAGAGGTATGGGGCGAGTGGACAGCCCTGACGCACTCCTTTGGCCATCTCCACCCGCTCCCCTACCCAGCCGTTCAGCAGCACCTTGGTTGCCGCTCCATCATGGAGACCCTTCACCCATCCGATGAACTTACTCGGGAGCCCCATATTGCTCAGCGTCGTGAACAGGTACTCTCGTGATACGGAGTCGTAAGCCTTTTGAAAATCGACCAGCAGCAGCAACCAGTCCTCGTCCTCCTGCTCTACGGCGTCTATCGCATCCGCCACCAGTGAGACCGCATCGCCGAGACTCCTTCCCGGGAGGAAGCCGAACTGGTTCGGCGAGATCACCTTAGGTAAGACTGCCCTGATTCTATTCGCCAGCACCTTCGCCAGAAGTTTGTAGAAAAAACTCAGTAGTGTGATCGGTCGATAATTGCCCACATCGTCTCTGCTTCCTTTCTTGTGCAGAAGAATCGTAACCGCCGTCGTGAAGGCTTCCGAGAGCATGCCCGTCGACTCGAAGTCCCGGATCTCCTTCATCACCGCCGGGCCCAGCAACCCCCAGTCCCTCTCAAATAATTCCTTCGGCAGGCCATCCTGTCCCGGAGCTTTCCCCATCGGTAAGCCCTTGAGCGCCACTTTCACCTCCTGCTCTGTCCAATCCTTGTCTAACTGCAAGCGATCGCTCTCCTGCAGCACCCTTCCTTTCTCAATCGGCCATGGTTCCCCGGGAGAAGGCGCCGGCGACAACGCGTAGGCCTCTCGGAAGTGCTCTGAAGCCACCTTCAGCACCTCGCTTGCACCCCTCCGCAACACTCCCTTAAAAGTAAGTTCCGTTATCTCCGTCTTCGCTTTCCTCGACTTAACCAAGCCTTTCAGGAAGGCTGATGGTGTCTCTCCCGCCAATTCTTGCAACATCCCTGACAAGACCTGCAGCCTCTCCCTGTTGCTGTCTTGATAAAGCTTGAGCGCCGCTTCATTTTTTACCAGTTCCTCATATAGAGCCTGCGAAGAAGGATCCGCCATCACTTTCCATCTGAGCTCCTCCACTTTTCTTTCCAGGTGTAACATGGTCGCTTTGACCCTTTTCCTTTCCTCTGTGACGTGAGCCCTCATGCTTGCACGCAGGCTTGTCACCAATCTCTCCAGACCTTGCACCGGTTGGGTCGCCTGTGCCTCCACCACCGCCGATATGATGTTCCTGACTCCTTCGCCTCCCGCCTGAGGCGCCTGAAGCCTCCACAGCCCAGGACCGTGATCGTCTGCAGATGCCGACTTGAGCAAGACCATCACGGCGAACCAGTGATCCGTCAATCCGTAAGGTACCATTTTATGTTTCGCCTCCGTTACGCAGCTGAGTAATGAATGTGAGACTAAAACCCTGCCAATCCTTGTGCTTGACCTTGCAGATCTTGAGAAGAAAGTGTATTCCTTTTTTGTTGGATGAAGACAACGGAAGGCGTCCTGCAAGTCCCACCTCGAGCATATCTGCAAGAGCCGCTGATTTTCCGCCGGAGTACCCAGCTTCTAAGACTTGTCCAGCTCCGGGTCTGCTACGATGTTCAGGTCCCCGAGAAAAACGGTGTGCGGAGAGCCTCCTAAACTCTGTACGAAAGGTGTTAGTACTTCTCGGTAGAAGGTCCCCCTAACTGTCGCCTGCGCGGGTAAGTACGCTGCTACCACTCTGCACCGCAGATCACGCCATGTTATGAGCAGGCTTAGAAGCCGGCCTGACTCATGCTTAACGACCTCCGTAAACCGTATCCCTGGCAGGAAACCCAAGACAGCCACTCCCCCTGCCCTTTGTGCCGGTCCAACCACCGCTTGAGCTTCAGATCTAATTTGTGTCCAGAAGTTGTGGTCAGATGGAACACGTGTGTCGGTGAGTACCACAATGTCCGCTGCTTTCCTGATCCATTTACCGCATCGTTCTTGCTTCCCGCTGCTACCGAGCCCGTTGATGTTGAGCTCGAGAATTTTGAGGTTGTTGTGTTTATTCATTAAACCACTCCTTTGAGCCCCACAGCATCCACGGGCGATTGAGCTTTATTGCGACGATACAACCAGCTACAGCGAAAGAGAACATGGCACCAACTACACAGCTTGCTCCCAAAATCCACCTTGCGGCTTCTTCCATTCCTTTCCCAACGCCGTTATCCTCCTGCCCGCTGCTCACTTCACCACCGGCTTGACCATGAAATCCTTCTTGAATGCGGCCATCTTCTGAGAGTGCTTGCTTGCACGTGTTGCCGCTCCTTCCGTACGAAGTCCCCCCTTGTGCCTGGCAGATGCAACGTGGGCCGCTGCTTGCTCGAAACGATTCCCCTGTGCCTTCTCGCATACGGTTTGCACACACACCCACTCCTCCCGCATTCCTCCTGTGGAGGTGAGTATAACGGCGGGGTCCTTCAGGATACGCTTCACGAGGGTGGAAGCTTTCAGAGATGCGGCTGCGGGGAGAGTTGAGGGAAAAGCCGTCAGTACAAGGTAAGAGTAAAGAATCCAGCGGCAAAAGGCACAGCGGAAGAGGGTGTGGAGCAGCTCGACGTATACCGTTCATCTCATGAACCTTTTTAACCGACAGGTTCCAGTTGGTGAAGTTCTCCTGTCTTGTAGTGATATAGCGGTCGTGATAGCGGGACAGGTGCGGACCGCTGCAAAGCTCGCAGGTGAGTGACGGGTAGTGGAGCAGGTAACGTTTCTTCGTCGTCGGATCCTCCACAAAATACCTCCAGCGGTACTCGTCATCAGCGTGAGGGACAACCAGGCCGCGAATGCGGTCCGTGTCAAGTCCAGTGACCGGGTCCAGCGTACGATGAAAACCAAAGCCGCTGGCGAAGGCACTCCTGCCTCGCTTAACCAGCTTCGACACCACCAGCAGATGACGGACAAGCTCAGAAGTGATCTCGGCTGGCACTCCCTTAACGACCACCTCCTGCGCCAGCGGGTTCAGAACACGCTCGCGAAGAAAACGAGCATCTTCCGGGTATTGCCAGGTGAGGTCGATGATGTCTCCGTTTACACATTCGTGCTTGATGACTTGATTCCATACGTAGTTGGCGTCCCTGACATGATTAAAGGTGACTTGCAGCCGACCAAAGCGGTTGCCGGAGAAATAAGTTGGCGTGAGATCCTGACAGGTCGTTATCTGCAGCACATCCGGGGACAACTGATCCTTCCAGTCATCCAGCAGAGCTGCGATCGTTACTGCAGCACGCTTGACTTCCGCTTTCCTGAAGATCGGCACCAGCAAGGTTAGTGTGAAGCGTTTTAAAGCCAAAGCACTGGTAAGCGAAGCAGGTTCAAGATGTTCGTCCGAGTCGTCGCTTAGATATCCATCATCTTCATCCTCTGGGACCGGGTCTGACAAATCCTCGTCGTCATCGTTTTTATTGTCGCCAGCAGCATCAGCTTCCCCTTCTGACTTCTGGTCCTTGGTTCCGGAGCCTTCCCCGCCATCAGCGTCGCCGTCATCAGAGTCGTCTGCATTGTCCTCCTTGTTCTGCAGGTCGTGCAAGTCCTCGAAGGGTCCGATCACAGCAGAGAGTCGAGGAGTGGAAGGCTTGCCAGGACCAGTAGCATCCGGCACAGGTACGTCAGGTACGTTCTCTCCCGTCTCCTTTCCTTGATCGACATTGTCCGTCTTCTTGCTCGACTTGTTGTTGCGTCCCTTCCCCATTGTGCGATGATGATGATAGCTTGACAGCCCGGAAATGGCTGAGAAGCAAGTTGATCTGAGCACTGAAAAGTCTGACGGTTTATATTTCTTATGCTTGAAAGCAAACCGCTGCAGGTCCAGACCCGAGGAGGGAAATGTATCCTTGGGGATTGACGCATTGCCTCGGGAAATGGTCGCCTTGAGTGTTGGTGTCCATTGGAAACTGTCAGCGTGGAAATTGTCGCGTTGTAATATCTTAGCCAGCAATGACTCGCGATGGAAACCATGGAGTAGCCCGTAGCCTTGGTTATTGTTGCATGTCGTTAACTTGCATGATGATAAGTGACACTTGGACGATAGCCTGGAACTCCAATAAAAGGTGTTTAGGTTCCCGTAATGAACGCTAAAAATACACCACCGTGTAGAGCTTGCAGTCGCGCATCGTCTGAGCGTAACAATGTCACCATCAGGCAAGAAATTGTTGCACATTGACCAAGTTAAAGCTCTCCGCCATGGCCATGGCGGCATTGTCATTGTCATTGTCATGTTAGTAGGATGAAGCAGGTGCCAAGTGAGGACAACAATCCAACTCGGGAAATCACACGTTCACCGCTCGTCGCTGAAACCTCTTGTTGAGCTCGTTCAGTTCCTTCAGGACATCAGCGAGAAAGAACAGAAAGAAGTGGAATTTAAAGCTCATAACCAGGTGATACGTCGTGTTGGCTTTCTCGTGGAGCAGGACTATGGCTGCAGGCAGGACCGCGACAAGTTGCGAAACAGCATCGCCACGCGAGAGCCAACGAACTTAAAAAATCCCCTGCATCTCCAAGTTTGTGGCGTGTATCACGTTTTGCAGCTCGTGGAACCTCTGGTGGACGACACTGCTTTGGCCGATGAGGTTCGCAATGGCGCGGATCCCTTGGTCGATGATGTAGAAGTCGGAGATGTTGGTCGCGGCATTTTTGGCCGCGAGAGCCTCTCTGTAAGAGGAGAGAACAAAACAAGTAAGCATCGGGTTCTATATCTGGTAAACAAACTGCAAAACAAAAGGAACATTAAACCTCACAGGTGAGCAAGGCAATGACAGGCGACAAGATGCGGAACTCGCATGCGCAGTTGAACCACCAGCTCATTCTGACTGCCGACCATGACATTCGCGCCATCCATGCTGATGCCGGAGATTTTGCACATGTCACCCCCGCTGCTTTTCAGATGCGCCAGCAAAACGGTGAGCAGAGACGAAGCGTCGCCTTTCTCCACGGTTAGGTGCCCGAACAACTCGGTCACCACCTTCTCCTCCTTCAAGAAGGTAAGGTACACGATCAGGTGCTTCCCCCTCCTCCTGTCCGTGGACTCGTCGAGCGGAATCCCGAGGAAGGGGGATTCTTCAATGTATCGCAGCTGACGGGCCTTGAGGTGCTTCACCATGGCTTCGGTCATCTCCCGAAACCCGTACTTGCCAGCAAAAAAAAAAGACAAGTAGTCCTTGTTGATGAGTACCAACACCTACACATCACGGTGCATTACTCACTCAGACTGGTAGGTGCCGATGGCCTTGTCGGGAATGTTGGGGGTCTTCAAAACGTGTAGCAGCTGCACAAGACCAACAAAGAGAGCAATTGGTGAACCCGACTTGCAGATGAATAGCACCACTAAAAGTAGTTGCTTTAGACGCTCAATCCCCCCCACCCCGTCCTCATACTCATCAATCCCTCGTTGAGCCACTTTACCACCTTCTGCTCAGCATGGTCTGCTTCTGGATGTCCACGCCACCGTCGCCCGCCTTGCCATACTGCCAGTGTGGCGGTCCGTATCTGATGCAGACACTGCACTTCATGCATGGGCGACCATCCTTCCGTTGCGATATTAGCAGCCAGGGGAACCGACGTTGCCAGATGTCAGAACATTTCTTCTGCAGTTCCTCGAGAAGCGCATCAGGGTCCGGCACCAAAATAGACGGCGTGGAAGGCCCTGGATCCGAAGGCGAGGTCCTCCTGCCATTAGCTGGAGTCAGCGGAGTAGCAGGAGCTGTGGGAGAGGGCGTCCTTCCTTGCGTGATGCGAACGTGAGGCACGCGCGTTCGAGCAAATCGAATGGTCGATTGAGTGAATTTCACGCCTGCAGATCGCACAGCACTGACTGTGGGAGTCGCGACACGCCCGGTCGTTCTAGTGGGCGACTCGTCCACAGGCGGATCTCTCAGCGTTCGCCGTAGATTAACAGACGGCCATGGTTCCGTGCTTGCCGTTGGTTCGTTGGTGGGAACTGGGGGCTGCTCGACAGGATCGATTACTGGCGTGGCGGTAGGTGGACCGCCTCTCAGAAAATATAGACCAGTAAGTGGACGACTCGACCTAGCAGGGTCGTCATGGTCCCCACCATCCATGGCTACACGGCCCTAGGAGGATGATGTCAAGACAGTTGGGAGGAGCAGGGGACAAAATTCTGCTGAGCTAGCGATTGAAGGGAGCGTTGGAGAAGGAGACGGAGCGAGACGAGCATTTTCAGCTGAATGTGGTGCATGCATGAGGTTACAACGCACCGCGGTGCCCCAATCCATCCCTCGTCCAGCGTGACGTTGGGAAACAGTCGGTGGGAGCCGCGCGAGGCGCTGCTATCCACACTGCGGAGAGTCACTACACAACGGGAGTGGACTACGGAGGAGGGCACGGGGTTGTGCGAGTGATCGTAGCTTTGCACTAGCGTTCTTACTGCTTGCTGTGCTCACAGAGAAGTTTGGCAAGTGTGAGGATCTAGGATCAAGCTCAGAAAAGAGTGTTTGAATTGAATGATCCACCTGGGTACAACACGAGGCTATATATAGTCTCGACACAAGGCAGGTAACCCAGGTGTTACGCGAATGTTTTGAGGGTCGCGAAGCGTCCCGAACAGAACCTTCCCGAACTCAGTAGAAAGCAATTCGGTGGAAACCGAATAGGCTTGAGTTCGGTACACGTAACGTGGTTCGGTGCTATAACTATAATAAAATATAGGAATGCACCTAACTTAGGAAGTCAAGCATATCTATGCATGATAAAATAAACCCAAGCTAGATATAGCATAATAAAGTCCAGGCAAGCTAGCAAAGCCAGCATAAGCCGTCGTACTCTCACACGTCCCCCCCTCAAAGCTGGGTGGCGTGAGATACACCCTGCTTGACAAGATAGTCCTTGAGAGCACGGCGTGCGTTGCCCATATCAGCTTCTGCAACCCAACTGTCCTCAGTGGGGTCATATCCCTTCCAGCGTATCAGGAACTCGAGGGTCTTGCCGCTGCGGCGCCGATGAGTGAGAACGCGCTCCACTTCGTACTCAGGTTCATCCTGTACGAGAACAGGTGGTGGTGGCGGTAGCTGCCGTCCCTGGAACTGTTGGTTGGTGTCCTTGTAGGGTTTCAGTAGCTGGACATGGAAAGCGTTGTGAAGCTTCCACGTATCTGGTAAGCGCTAGCGGAATGTTACTAGTGTCACCTGTGTCTCAACGAGAAAAGGACCACAGGCCGGAGTTTGGATGGGAGGTGAGGCAGGTTCAAGTTGCGTGTGTCAAGAAGCACCTGATCTCCGACTGCTACTGAGTGATCTCGTCACTGTCGACTGGCATACTGCTTCTGGGAGGTCTGCATCGTGGTAAGTCGTCACTGAGTCTTCTCCTATAGCTGCTGCATGGTGGTGACGAAGTCGTGTGCGGCTTGGACATGTGCTGGTGTGGTTGGCTGCTGTGGTGTGAGAGGTTCCCGTCCGTAACACAGGAAGAAAGGAGTTTTCCCTGTGGCCGCATGTGACGCATTGTTGTAAGCGAACGCTAGGGTCGGTAACTGTGTGTCCCAGTGGCTGACATCATCTTTGCAAGCTGTGCACAGTAACTGTTCAACCACCTGATTGAGTCGCTCTGTCTGTCCGTCAGTCTGGGGGTGGTTGTTGAAGACATTGCAAGCTTTGTCCCCAACAGTCCCATGAGCTCCTTCCAGAACTTACTCGTGAATTTGGGGTCTCTGTCTGAGATGAGTGTAGCGGGGATGCCGTGGATGGTGATGATGCGGTCGAAGAAGAGGCGAGCAGTTGCTTCAGCTGTAACTGTGGCGTTGGTCGGTATGAAGTGACCCATTTTGGAGAACTTATCGATCACTACGAGGATGGAATCATATCCCCGTGAGGTCGAAGGGAGTCCTGTGATGAAGTCGAGGCTAACGACCTGCCATGGCTGCTCCGGTACGGGTAGAGGCTGAAGTAACCCTGCTTTTTTCTGCTTGCTGCTCTTCATCCGCTGGCACGTGTCGCATGAGGTGACGAACTGCTGCACGTCTGCTGCCATCCCAGGCCAGTAGTAATACTTTGCTATCCCTGCTAACGTCTTGTTGCTCCCGAAATGTCCCGCGTATGGTACGTCGTGAAACTCCTCCAGTAGAATCTGCCGTAGCGGGGCGTAATTCGGTACCCAAATCTTTCCTGAACCCTTCCTTACAGCTAAGTCTTTCTCCCACTGTAACAGCTTCTTGGTCTGTGCTGTAGCGATCTCTGTGTCCACGGAGTACCCATGTTGGAATAGACCCTTGAGCAGAGGGTTCATCCCATCGAGCTGGATGCCTGCTACATGACCGAGGCGGCTCAACGCGTCTGCCTTGTTGTGTAGCCCGGGCTTGTAGACGATTTCGTAGTGGAAGTGAGTTTCCAAGAAGTCCACCCACCGCACCTGTCGTCGTGAGAGCGTCGGCTGCGACTTCAGGTATTTGAGACTGCAGTGGTCAGTATAGTCTGTAGTCTTGGCTCCCTCTAGGTAACACCTCCACGCCTTAAAGGCTACGACTATGGCTAAGGCTTCCTTGTCGTGTATGGGGTAGTTCAGTTCTGCTCCGTGTAGCTTCTTACTGAGGTAGGCGATAGGCTGTAAACCGTTCCCGTGATCTTGCATCAGTACTGCTCCGACTGCCCGGTCACTAGCGTCTGCTTCAACTACGTAGTCCTTGTCTGGGTCCGGTAGGATGAGTACTGGTGCTGTGGTCAATGCTGTCTCTAACTGCTCCAT